TAATTTTGTAATTAAATTAAAGACATTAGATCCATTTCATCCTCAAGCGAATTTTGGAGTAACTTATTTTTAAAATTACTGGGTTTTAAAGGCACAGCAAAAAATCATAATTCACGTTTCCAATACAGAGAAATCCATTTATCCAGACAAGGGGTGTCTGCGTGTTCATTATCGCTGTATTTTGATGTATCAGTTATTAGTTACGTTTTGGTAGGGGTAGGGATGTATTTTTCAATGAATTATGACATCCGTTAAATGCATGTCGTCTGGATTTTTTAAAAAATTTATTGTTAACGGCAAAAATTCTTACGGTATTTTTTTCTATTTGTATACTTAAGGATTTTTTTTGTGGGGAGTGTTTAGGTTAGAATACGTTTTATTTAACTCTGGATGAATGGATTTCTCTGTATCCTTGGAAACGTGAATTACGAATTTTTGCTGTGCCTTTAAAACCCAGTAATTTTAAAAATAAGTTACTCCAAAAATTCGCTTAAGGATAAAATGGAACAAATGACTTTAATTTAATTACAACATTAAATTCGTAGCTTTTAGTTTCCATTTTTGAAACATGGTTAGAACTGTGTAGCGAAAAAAACATATTTTAAATCAATTGATTTATAATACTAATGCTCTGTAAATTTACATTGAGCACTATTTTGTAAAAATAAAAATATCTATAAGAACACCGGATTATATATATATGTACAATTCAAGTTATTCGGACTGTTGCTCTCGGTATTAAAATAATATAATAATATTCTAAATTTTTCCTTATCTATAAAACTCTTCTTTTTCTTAACTTTAATGATTGCATTTTCTTATGTAATTTTTTTCCTATTTGAACAAGAGTTAAGATTTTAAATATAAGTCATTGTTAACCTTCAACAGTTTTTAACTTCTGTCTAGACTTGTATATGTTATGAATTTCTCTTTCTCCCAATCTCACTACTTTAGAGTTTCCTTTTTCTCTGACTCTCTATTAAATGCCATTTCCCTCATTTATTGTTTGTCCCTCTTCTTTCTTCCACTTTTTTTCTTCTTTCTTTCCTTCCTTATTTAATCTTTATTTTTCAATTTTCTAAAAAAAAAAAAAAATAATAAAAAATGTTAAAATTCATTTTTTAACAAATGTTTTCGCATTGACATGATCCAGGGAGAAGATTCGGGGGAGGGGGGAATCGAAATAGCCATCAAAATGGGAAACAATTTAGTTTCATTTTTATGTTATTCATACATACATACATCGATTCTCCCGTCGGGTTCGACGTATGAGGGTCAAGCAGATCAGTTCCCAGGAAACCGACAACGGCACATGAGAATTGATTATAGTGGTGAAGGCCTCGTGCAGGACCATCCACACTTTTTGAAGGGCCGAATACAGAAACCTGGTGCACTACGTGCCACAAGGTTCCCAAACAACCCCCCGAAGGTTTTGAATTCAGAGTTGTCCTTCTCCTAGACCAGTTGCCATCCAAGGCTATAGAACCCAGTCTGTCCTGCTATTTTACCCATAGCTGGAGGGAGAAGAAGAGGATTCACACCTTTCCCAAGGGTATTAGCATGTAAGTGAATATAATGGATTCAACCCGGATTCGAACTCGTCTCTACGATTCCTCAATCCGAGCCGATAACCATTACTCCACTGTGCCTAGAAGGCAGAGAGTGACATGTCTAATTTAAAGATAGATGAAGTATATAAAAACTTATATTTCATACTTAAGCCATAAATGAGGTTAGGTTTTAACTGTTACATTTTTATTTTGTAATATTTGGTCTTTCGTGTTCATTTTAATTGCTTTGCAATTTCCCGTTTTCGACTGATCTCTGACGAGAGAGGACCGATAAATCGACCTAGATACATTTTTTTTTGCGAATAGGAAAGAGGGTTTTGGAAAATTTGACACACACAGGGCAGATTTAAACAATAGAGAAAGAGAGGAAAACAACGCATGACCTACCTAAGGAGTTCATGCAAATGGATGTCAGGACTGAGATTCGGAGAAACAGCAAAAAGACAACATTTACTAAGAGCTACAAACAAACGTCAAGAAGTTGTCGAGAGCCGTGATCGTCCATGTCCTGAAGAGACGCGGTACATAGAAGATTATGTCTTTAAATAAGATACCATAAAAAAGACACTTGAAAATTCTTGGAGATATAATGAGGAAAGAAGGCTTGGAAAATTTGACACTCACATGGCATTGAAAGCAAGAGGCAGAGAGGAAAGCAGTTCCTTATCTAACTTAACGAACTTGTGTAAATGGTTGGCAAAAGAGGGATTAAGAGAGATAGCGAAAAGACAAATATTACTAAGAGCTACAAAGGACAAGAAGTTGTTGAGAGCCATGATCGTCCATGGCCCGAAGGAACACAGCACATAGAAGAGGCAGAGAGGAAAGCAGCACCTCATCTACCTAACGAGCTTGTGTAAATGGTTGGCAGAACAACAAAGGATTAGTAGAGATAGCTGAAAGACAACATTTACTAATAGCTCCAATTTGTAGGAAATTGTGGATCGCCAACCTCCTGAATGGTCATGGTAAAAGTATGTATTACGATATTACTACTTTGGGGCAATTATTTCTTTTTGTTATCATTTTTTGTTAACATTTTCGTCTTTTTTTTTTTAAATTGGTCGCTTTTATCCCTTTAATATAAGCATTGAATGCAAGTGTTTCGAGGCAAGCAACATTTGATTAACAAGAGAAGTGGCTGATTTTGGTAATGTTCCCGTTATTAAAATAGCAACAAACTGAACCCAGTTCTCGTGCGTGTCCTTTAAATATTGATCACGTTCATGTCTCACTATCAGTAAGATTTTAGAAAAAAAAATGGCGGCGCTGAAATGTTCTGAAGTTTACCAATGTCAAACAAAACAAAGGAAACTAAAATTCTTCCCTTCACCTCGATGCTATAGTCGATGGGAAAACAACTGTAGTAGTTATTCTTAGGTTCATTTAATAAATGTCGTACGAGAGACTTTTTGATAAACACACTTGTCCTCACGATCTGGACATTGGCCAGACGTAATTTTGCATACTATTCTCGAATGTTTTTATTACTTTGAACGTATCAAAGTATCGGCATCTATCTATCTATCTATCTATCTATCTATCTATCTATCTATCTATCTATCTATCTATCGACAGTCATTTTATATCTATCTATCTATCTATCTATCTATCTATCTATCTATCTATCTATCTATCTCAGTTCAGTATCTATCTATCTATCTATCTATCTATCTATCTATCTATCTATCTATCTATCTATCTATCTATCTATCTAATTCTGTTCACATCTATCTATCTAAATAATTTTTTATATCTGCTTTTCTTCCGATCAAGATGGTTTCGTATTTACCATGAATATTTAGTTTATCGCTCTCTCCCTCTCTCTCTCTATATATATATATATATATATATATATATATATATATATATATATATATTTGTGTGTGTGTGTGTATATGTGTGTATGTGTGGATATACTCTTCCATCTAGAACGGCGAATGAGGATTCGGTAAATTGTTTTTACTGAACCACCTGCGCAAGTGAATTTGCTTAAATGTCGTCAATTGCCTGCCTATCTATCTATCTATCTATCTATCTATCTATCTATCTATCTATCTATCTAATTCTGTTCACGTCTATCTAATTCTGTTCACACCTATCTATCTATCTATCTATCTATCTATCTATCTATCTATCTATCTATCTATCTATCTATCTATCTAATTCTGTTCACATCTATCTATCTATCTATCTATCTATCTATCTATCTATCTATCTATCTATCTATCTAAGACTTTTATTTATCAATGCATTTTCCTTACACCCAGTTTTGTCTTTCATTCTTACCTGAAGAAACCGAACCCAACACACCTCGGTGAAACGCATCTTTAAAAAAACCTTTTAAATTTTGTCCCATTATGACTATTTTTATTTGGGACGCTATTATATATCTTATAACACACACACAAACACATATATAATCTAAGATATAATAATTAAATTATTACTAGCTTAAAAGCCGCCCTATTGAGCGGCATTTAAGCTATTAATAATATTTGATAAATCCATTGAAGTATTTCATTAACATTTAAGCTTGCTCTTTAAAAGTCTAACGATAATTGTTTTGTCACTATTTAATTTAAAGACAATTTGATGTACGTAGGTCCTTACTTGTAGATCCGTACAAACAATTATTTTTATTTCATTTGCTGACTTTCGCTGTATTTCGCAATTAATTTCGATTATTCCTAAATTTATATCCAAGTTATAAAAATTGTTATCATGCAAAAAAAAAAAAAAAAGGAAAAAAAAATAAAAAAAAAATTCGCAAATAATCGTGTAAAAAAAATCACCGAAAACAATCGCTGTAATGAAAACTTGGAAATCCAAAATTTCAAGATTTCTGGTTCGGATCAGGTCCGGAATGGTTTTTAAGTCGGTCTGATTCCAAAATAATCTGATATGTTGGGCTACTGTCTCTTAGAGTATAGTTGAAAAAGTGTGACACACTGAGATTCGCATTTATTATATAGATTATTATTATTATTATTATTATTATTATTATTATTATTATTATTATTATTTCAGGGACTTGAATAGAAAAGTCGTTTGTTTTATGTAAAGTACACATTTTCCCTTTCACTGAAATCGTAATAAGAATAAAAAAGCACATCGCATTTATTACTCTGCTGTGTTCTTTCGAAGTGGTGAATTCCTTTTCCCCTCAAAGTTTTATTAGAATCAAAAAAATGCGGCATCTGTCATTACTGTTAAAAATATTAAAAATAGCTTCAGTTTGCATGAGGACATTAATAACAATTATTTCGCTTTTGTAAGACACACGACATATCTCAAAATATGGGATCAAGTGTTCGTGGCTTCGTGCAACCTTGAAATAAATAGCACAGTTTGCAATCATTAGCCTTTCGATTATTTTTTTTTTTACAGGATTTCCTGTGTGTTGTAAAGAGACATTTTCCTGTATATTTACTTTGAAAAAATGTGTTGGGCAGCAGGGAAAGTAAAGGATGTAACTGAATGAAGAAGAAGAAGAAGAAGAATAATAAGAAGAAGAATAAGAAGAAGGATGCAAGAACGAGCGAAAGAAAGAAAGAAAGAAGATGAGAAATTGAAGAAGAAGAAGAAGAAGGATGCAAGAACGAGCGAAAGAAAGAAAGAAAGAAGATGAGAAATTGAAGAAGAAGAAGAAGAAGAAGAAGAAGAAGAAGAAGAAGAAGTAAAAGAGAAAGAAGAATTTGAGGACTTAGAAGAAAAAAATGAAAAGAATTAAAAGAAAACGGAAAAGTGAGAAATTGTTATTTTGTTTTCTACTAGCGTGTGAAGTTGATAATGAAGATGGCGCTGACAAATTCTACTGTTTGCAAGCAAGTCGACTGCCGATTCTAATAGGCAGTGGGGCTCCGTCGAGTCTTGGAATAAATAGGTCAAGTATAGCACATAACACGACTTGCACTAATGCCTGTGGAAGCAACCTACTTGACATCGACAGGCAAAAGATAAGCACCCAATGAAACATATCCATCCATACAGGGACCACAGAAAACACTCTAATACCAACTTGCCTTGCAGTAAGGTATCTTCTACAGAAATGACAAGCATCTCAATAAGATACTCACAAAGTGCCCTGTTATTTCTTTTCCTGTGCAAGATTAAGTTAAGCTATATAAATATCTACAGAGTTATGGATAACGATAATGTGACCTAAACTCTAGCTAGTGTGTTCGATTCTGACTGAGTCCTCTACTGGTCTGTCCAAAAAAGGAAAGCAGGAAGAAAGGACTAAACATCAATTGTAAGAAGGCAAAAATGTATGGTTGTCAACAAGATGAAGAGTATAAGATACAAACTGCAAATTGGAGAGATCAAAACCAAGAAAGCATAAAAATTTAAATATCTGTCTATATTTCTGAGATGAGGCATTATGTACACTGTTTACATTATTCGGACTATTTTCCTCAACTTTGTCGCCATATTTATCATAACATTGTACGCTCCGGCCTTCTTTGGGTGGTTGGAATGTCGAACTGGACCCTTTATTTCGCTCGCTGGGGTAGACTGTTCTAGTTCCACGTGCCATGTCTAATGGATGTCAGTTATCAGTTATCTCCTGTTAATTCCCCTCTTCAAGATATTAAACTCAAAAATCTTTGGGTCCTGTCACTAGTTCTAACCAACGCCTTTTATCGACTGTGTCATGTGTCCATCTGTGTATGAATTTCTGGGACTTATAAACTTAATGTTTTCATTCGTTTTTCGTTTTTTTTTACCATAGCTCATATTGCAGAAATTTAAACCAACATATAGTATATAAGACGCAGGGGAATTTTAAAAGATATTTTTAGAAAAAAACAAAAAAACAAAAAAACAAAAATCAAACTGCGACTTATATGCCATCAAATACAGTATATTTTTAAATTTTAAAAGATATTTTTAGAAAACAAAAAAACAAAATACAAAACAAAAAACAAACTGCGACTTATATACCATCAAATACAGTATATTGCAAAACACGTATGTTTCTCAAATATTCAGAACGAAGCCGCACCGAACTCCAGCAGTTTTACGATACAATCTTTACTCCAAGGAAAATCTACTCAAGTGTTCTGCAATAAACTACATCCGTTAATCAAACAAAACTTAATGAAAAGAGAAAAATAACTGTACGCAATCTCCAGTTTAAGTATTAACAACTAGAAACTCTGAAGCAAACAGGCAAAAAATAAATAAAATAAAATAAACAAACACTTTGTTTAATTTGAGCAGCAGGAAAACCATATAATCATAAGAAGAAGAAAAAAAAATGAAGAGTATGAGCAATGGACACTCAATCAATGTTTTTATGGATTAAAAGGCTTAGGATGTTACAATATTAACTGCAATCGAATCGAACAGCTTCGAGAATCAATAAAAACGGACTGGAAGAATAAATCGATTAAAAACATTACAGGGAAGAAAAACAGAGAGATATCGTAGACAAACAGAAATGGGCGTGATGGCAGGAATAACACTTGATTTCCAGTGTATTTCTAACAAATAGATATGATAGAACCATTCTGCTAGAATTCTGGTCTTAATTCCTGACCTCTGAAAATCCATTTTTCTGACTTTCAGTCTATTTGTAACTTTTAATTTCCACTACTAATATATTTACTGATGCATTTACTTTATATATATATATATATATATATATATATATATATATATATATATATATGTATGTATATATATATATATATATATATATATATATATATATATATATATATATATATATATATATATATATATATATATATATATATATATATATATATATATATATATATATATATATATATATATATATATATATATATATATATATATATATATGTATATATATATATATATATATATATATATATATATATATATATATATATCAATTTCAAGGACATCATTTACTCACTTTCGTTTATATATATATATATATATATATATATATATATAAACGAAAGTGAGTAAATGATGTCCTTGAAATTTTATCTTAAACTAGCAGCATGGACGGGCGTTGCCCGTGCTTGATTCAAAAATCGTACGACTCATACAGCCATCGCTATCACTTGACTTAAAATATTTTTGCCCTTCCTTGCCTTTAAAGGAGTGCCCTTTGCCGTGCTGATGTTGCTACATGCCTTACTTCTTGCCTATCTCACACTGCAAATTTTTTTCTAAGCTCTATACTAAACATTAAATCTGTTACGAAAAAAGAACTAAACAAAATGAACACAAAACGATCAGCTTTAAAAAAGGACTCGTAACTGGAAAAACCGAATGAAAAAAAGAATGTTAACAACAAATACTTTTTCACATCCAACCCAGTTCTGCGGAATCAGAATCAACATTGAGGTTAAGCAAGCGAATGAACCAATTGGAGTAAAGTGCCATGCAGATTTAAATTATTCCCACTTGTGACGAATGTAGCTATCGATGTTTTTGCATGCTAGCATGCTAGTTAACATTCGTGTCAGTCAGCTGTTGGCTCTCACGTTGGCCAATAGAATCTTCCTGCCTATTCGTGGCAGCCAGCTATAGGCTCTCACTGTGGCCAGTAGAAAATGGCAGCAAACTACATGAAAACTGCCGTAGAAGCATGAAAAAAAATCGATTATTTACACTATCGATGGGAGTTGGGAAATGCAAAGTCGGTGTTGGCCTTCTCGCTAACTTGGAGCATGTGCATGTAAATTTTGGTTCAAATCCGTCGAAAATTGCAGCCGTGCATTCGTCACACACACACACACACACACACACACACACACACACACACACACACACACACACACACACACACACACATCCTGCCTTTTATAGATAGAGATAACACGCGATTATGATGTTCAACCGCTTTTTAATTTCTTAACATTTTTATAGTCATGTATATTGGATTGAGAAATTAGTTATTCTTTGAGGAATTGAAATAAGCGACATAGATTTATATTTTGTCAAGATTCAATAGCGGAACTCTTGAGAATTTTCCGTCTAAGTAAGTTACTCACTCTTTTAATAAGTTTGGCATTCTTTGGCATATATTTGACATTGAATTGTGTCACTTGGCGTCCTCCATACCATAGGGTTTATTCATGTGTTATATATTTTAAATAACAGATTATGAATTTAACTGTTGTTTTTTTTTAATTTTTAACAGTTTTATAGCCATGTTTGTTGGTTTGGGATAGAAGATATTTGAAAAATTCCGGGGCGCAGATTTATATTTTGATAAGATTCGATAGTGGCACTTTCGAGAATTTTCCGTCTAAGTAAGTTACTCACTCTTTTAATAAGTTTGGCATTCTTTGGCATGTATTCGGCATTGAATTGTCACTTGGTATCCTCCATAGCTTACCTAGACTTTTCGGCTAACCTGATGAATATTTTTTTTTGTTAAATTTTAAAATTTAACCTGTAGAGAAAAGCGATACTTATGCTTTAAAAATGAGTTTGTAAATATTATATTTTAAGCTTTCATTTTAGTTTTAATTTCATGCTAATATATTAAATTTAATATTTTCAATAAACAAAATACTTTACCGTATTTCAAACTGAATTTAAATTGATTAGAAGGAATTTTTTAAATCGTTAAATATGGCTGATTTTTAGCGATATTTACAGTTCTCTCAGCACAACGTAATTCTCTTTATTAAAAACCTTTCAAAAATAAAATATACTTTTTTGTAACTTTATTTGAGTAGATTAAACTATTTATAGTGTTACTTACTTTTAGTTTAAAATATCGCAGGAATTCATTTTTTTAACGTGGAAGTGGGTGTTTTTATGAGGTACTGACAACTATCCTGATTGACTGAAGTTTGTGAATTTTTTCTACAGTGGACATATATGTAAAAAATTACTTGACAAATATAATGTGAGTGCCTTTTTACATAAGTTTTTAACTACTCAGTAATCTTAAAAATTAGGACAATATTCTAAGAAAATCTAATATATGATTGAATTTGAAATATTTTGGCTTAAATTTACTATAGTTGTCGCTGATATTTTTTGACAATGTCACGTATGGACGTCTGTATCTACAAAAATCAGCACGTTTATACACAGAGAAAAAATTATAAATCCTTTTTTTTGAAAAAAAACAACAATTTTTGGAAAATTTCGTTATTCATCGAAAGATTGTTTATCTTAAGACAATAGTGTCCATAATATATCTTATTCATAAAAGCAATTAAAAAGGATTTTTTTATTTTACGATTCAGAGCAGATTTTCGGTAACTGGGGAACTACCAGTTTAAAAAAAAATGAAATAAAATAAAATAAAAATTGATGATTTAAATTATCCAAGGACTTCTGCTTATGACTAATATAAACATTAGGCCATACAAAAATGAATTTCTCGAAATTTCATAAAATTAAATAAGTCGAGGTAACAGATGTTAAAATATTTCACCAAGAATTTCTGAAAAAGAAACGTTCCTAAAAAAATAATTACGGCAACAATTTGGTTTTTGCAAGAATTTCCAATCAATGTATTTTTTTATCGCAAAAAGACGCTAACATTTCCTATAATACTTTATTGTTTCTCATTGATGAAAGAAAAATATTTAAACAACATTTCGAAGGTTCTAAAAGTGAGTAAATAATACAATTTAATAATAAAGAGATCATTTGGTCTATCCTCTTAATAATAATATAAGTATTTTGACGATAAAACTTTGTTTTTATTAGGTTGGTGCAAAAATAATGACGTAATAATGTCGTTTTTTGACCTTAAAAATACGCCAAAAAACGACATTATTACGTCATTATTTTTGCACCACCCTAATATTAAGTTTGTGTCAGTTTTTCATCATTTATTCTCATTTTTTTAACGAAACTTTGGAGGTACCTATAATAGAAGTATTTTATTAGTAATGTTTGTATTACTTCCCGACTACTGACAACGCCAGAAGGTGGTATGACGAACAAAGCATCTAAGGACTAAAGTAGCCATATTGGAAATTCTTCTTCACAATACTAACATCCCCTTATAACTAATTTTATAGCATCAACTCGTGAAAAACGGTGAAGCCATCTGAAATGTTATTTTAGTAACGTCTGAAATAAGTAACTAAACAAAATATTTCGTACTTAAATCCTATGTTAATTTCGTATTTATCTTGACCAACCACTGACATTTTTTTCAGGCCTGATTCTGCAATGTCTAGATTCTAGGTCACCCCTATGGAACACCTAATTCTTTTGAAGTTCTGATGTAACACCGATACAAAGCTTACTTTAGTAACTCTCAGTGGATATTGGGGTCACCACAGATCAAATCTTCTTAGATCAAAAGTTGCTGATGAAAATTAAATTCCATTTAGACATCTGGTATTTTCTGGTGTGAATAACTAGAAAAAAATTCATGTGATGCATAATAATATTTACTAATTTTAATAATATATATAGTGTGAGGCGAAGACAGAAATAAACACCAAGACAGTCAATCATCAAATGACAAACAATGGTTTACGATTCGGAGGATCCACGCACCTTTCCGGTAAATATATTAATCCTTTGAAAATAAATATTTAATATTTTTCAACCAATGGATGGCATTGTCACAAAAAAAATAAAATAAAATAAATAAAAAAAATACATGCTTCGTGATCCCTTTCAAAATTATATAAACAAAGTCACCAGATCATGCCAGCCAGTAAGAAAGGAACAGCAACAGTTCACGACGCGGCAAAGCTTCAAAGAGATTCCCTTATTTATTCACTCTTATTCCTCGCCAAGCTACGTGACAATTACACTCTTCCTCATCAAGCTACGTGACGTTTTATTATATACCGTACACATGAACACTAATGGTCATGTCCCAATCCTCATAAATACATTGGACACTATTGTAAGTGGGGGTTATATGCTGTCTATGTAGTCCACCATTAGTCGTGGTTTACCTACTTCACGCCGCTAGCGAGTATTGTATTTTGTTGATGTTATAATGATTGTCATTTCATTTCCGACCTCCATTTTGTTTACCTCTCAGTCACTAACCATTTCTACGTTACAACACGTTTACACTTTCCTCTTCACTTTCTATCTTGACTCTTTTTTCTCTATTTCTTGCACACACACACACGCGTACACACACACACACACACACACGCGCGCGCGCGAAGAAATCGTGTTTCTTTTAATCTTAGCAAACAGCTACAAACAAGGAACTTTAACACTAATATATTCTGAGAAAAATTTAGTAGTAAAAACAGGAAAATATAAATATTTTTAGATTTAAAAAAGCCTTCTTGCCTTTTTTCCTTATTGAGGGTTGATTCAAATCCTCAACATTATTATATTATATAAATCATTTTCGTTGGAATTTCGATCTGAACCCTTTATTTCATCCACCAGGGTAGATTGTTCTAGTTCCACGTGCCAGGCCTTTTTCTAGATATCTCAGTTTCAGTTATTTTCCTTTAGTAACTCAACTCTCCACCTTTTTGTCCGCCTCTGCAAAAACTTGGAGAGTTGAGTTACATAGAGGGTTTCAACGTATATCACCTGAAGCAGACCGGAACGTACAACCGCCGAAACGTCGTCAATATGTCAATAAAGATGAGGACAGCGATCTGTGATTAACGTAATTAAAAAAATGCAATAATAATAATAATAATAATAATAATGATAATAATAAAAATAAATTAATAACAAGAACAAAAAATGGAAAAATAGTAGTGGAGAATTAAAATATACCGTAAATTAAAAAAAAAAATCTTTCAAAAAGTGATATTTACTTTGACAAGAAATCTCTACCCACGAAATGAAATCAGTTTCGCAAAGTCTGTCGCTTTATATCAGTAAGAAAATCAAAATATGTCGGACGTATATAATTTTTTTTCAGGCTCAAATTAGTTCTTTCCATCATTCTGTATTTCTTTGTGTCTTTTAAAAATTTCTTTTTCTTTTACCCAGACAAATCTGTTCATCCATACATTTACTTATTGACCTGTTTTTTACATTCATCCTTCATCACTTTTCCTCCAGTCGTCTTAATTTAGTCTCGTCTGCGACAAACATTATCCTGAAAAACGATACAGTGTTATGGCGCCTGATTATTTGATAAGAAGAAAGCAAACGACAAAACCGTTCCATCTGGGACAGAGGAGAAAAGGTATTGATTGAGAGACCAAGGGGAAAAAATAATCATTAGTTGTAAAAAAACAAGCCTTTATTTTTATTTTAATACTTGTTTAGTTTGAAATGATATATTTTCATCAGTAGTTAGTTTTTTTTTAAATTATTGTGTGGCACAACGGTTACCAACACAGAAATGGTTAAACGCATTCGAATTTCAAATATGGCTGCATTTGTTCATTTCATGCATCAACTTTTTTCTTTCCCAAAGTTAGATATCTTGACACTGTTATAAAAGAGCAAATCACTGATATAGAAATAATAAACGCTGCGTCAAATTGACATTAGTAAGTAAAACAAATATGGCTGTGAGTATAAGGTCATCGCTGCAAAGACTGTTGTGAAAATGTGGTTTAAACGTTAAATTAATGTTTATTCACTTCCGAATTTTGTCAATTAATATCAACACTTACATACCACAAAAGTATCGGAGAGGAGGAAGTTCTAGATGGACTAAGAATTTGCTCAACGTTTCTGTAGCCGAAGTGGTTAAAACGATGTCCATGAAATATAGGTTACTGAAGTGTGAGTTCAAGTTTCGTCAGAAGCAACTACATTTTTAGCAATTTTGCATTGTTTGCTGTGGCGGTGGAAGGTTGCATGTGTCTCCACAGTTTGGTGACAAGCAACCATAATATGATGGACTAATACAATTGTTTTATTTAAAAAATTGTGTAAGAATCTATTTTACACATTTATGAGACGGACATTCGTCCATGCGTTAAATATTGCTGTCACTTTTGGGCTGCTATGTATTTATAGATTCTTGATAAGATCCAAAGAATTTGCAATGGTATCGATCCTGACCTGGCATCACGTCTTCAGTCACTTTCCCACCACCGTAATCTTTTTTTTTCTAGAAATATTTTCAGAGTGATTGTTCTTTGGTAAATTGATTTTACGAAATTAAGTGCATTACTAGATTGGCAGATAGGTCTCATCCTTTTACAATTGAAATTGTTACATGTTTCTTCTTCTTCTTCTTGTTACATGTATCTGTAAGTTCTATGTGAAGAACAACATTTCTGTTGCTTCGAGCCTCTTCATCATCTTCTTCATTCACTGCCATATAGAAGTACTCAGTTCAGTACTCTTTTTTCTCTAACGAAATTTTCCTGTATCTTAATACTTTGCTCAGCTTTTGGAAGGCATTTTGTTTTGCTTTCACAATGAACCTTTGGATTTCAGTTTCTCATTTTTTTATCCTTTGTTAAAACACATGGAAGAATGATTTTCATGCTTGATTTTTGGCATCTCCAATTAGCAACATGGACCGGACATGTGAGCAATGAGGAAGTTTTAAGGAAAAAGGAGACTTATACTTACTGTGGTATCAGAAAGTGTGTGTGAGAGAGAGAGAGAGAGAGAGAGAGAGAGAGAGAGAGAGAGAGAGAGAGAGAGAGTTGAAACACATAATGAGGAAAGAAGGCTTGGAGAACTTGACAAGAATTTGTGCAAATGGGTGGCTGAACAGTGACTGGGTGTAAAGACAAACCCTACTAAACGCTACTAAGGAAAGGAAGTGGTGAAAAAGAAGGGTTAAACTGAGACGACATAGGGAAGAAGAAGAAGAAGAAGAAGAAGAAGAAGAAGAAGAAGAAGAAGTAAAAGAGAAAGAAGAAGAAAACCTCTTTGTTTTTTGTAGGGTACTCATGTTGAAAGTTAACCTTACGAAGCAGCTTACGATTGGACAGAAATACAGACAGTAAACATAAAAGAATAGTTAATCTGAACGAAGTTTTACTTCAGTTAGTCAGTTATGTCTCATGCATGATACACGCTTAGGCGATCATGTATCTTTCGATACATGACTGACGAGGCAGATTTTTTCCTGTAGTAGGTTGCCATTTCTTTCTGCGGTAAACCAGTTGCCATCCAAAACTATAGAACCCAGTCTATCCTGTTATTTACCCATAGCTGAAGGATAAGAAGAGGATTCATACCTTTTCCCAAGGTTATTAGCACGTAAGTGAATATCAGTCAGTTATGTGCCATCCGTAATACACGCTTAGGCGATCATGTATCTTTCAATACATGACTGACGAGGCAGATTTTTTCCTGTAGTAGGTTGCCATTTCTTTCTGCGGTAGATTATTTGCCATCCAAAGCTATAGAACTCGGTCTATCCTGCTATTTACCCATAGCTAGAAGAGAAGAACAGGATTCATACCTTTCCCAAGGGTATTATCACGTAAGTGAATGTAATGGATTCGACTGGAAATCGAACTAGGCTCTCCGATTCCTCAATCCGAGTCGCTATCCATTACTCCATCGTGACTCCTATTATTATCAGATAAACGTTATTTGTAGTGGATGCCCATGTTTGGGTAGACTTTCAGTTTCGTTTTTAAAGACTATATTATTTTTATTCGTTTCAAGGAATTTATTTTTTAATCATTTTCATAATCCAAAACTTGACAACTTGCTCCATAAATGGTATTCTCAGCATCCTCCTCTAACTATTAATAATAGACAAAGAATCTTATAAACGGTTCTCTTACAGGTTACAAATAAATTCATAATTTTCATTTTCCTGTAAATTTATTTTAAAAGTTTAAAAGGAATCAGTACTTAGAACACTCGCGCCATCGGGTAATAATAAAAAAAACAAAAACAAAAAAAAACAAAACAAAAAAACAACAACAACAAAAAAAACAGGCAGGACCCAATGAAAAATGTTATAAAACGTTCTCGGGTGCCGGGGTACAATCTCTTCCAGGCAGTAATTCTTCGTTAGAAGAGGGCAGTGTTAATCTTTGGCGCCTGAGTAATCCCCATTTGAGGAAATGTCGAGTGTATTTCAGTATTTCTTTTACCTTGTTCCATGTATGCATTGGATTCTCACTTTTTAAAACTCAGTTCAAGTGGGAATACAGGTAAGTATCTATTTATCTGTTTCGGATTCTCAATGATCTCCTGACGTTTGAAATATCAAGTGTAAAGAAAATTAAAAAAAAAAACGATTTAATTAACGATTAATTCATTAATAACCGTTGTTAATTCTAGTCTTAATTATAAAAATTAAAATAAAATGTGGTATTAATTATAGGATTCCAAAATTCCGGTTTCTACCTCCAAGTAATTAATGCGAACTCTTTCAAGAATGGAAATGTAGACATTAATACCTTAATAGACTTTAATAAAAGTATTACTTATTTATTACAGTAAACTAAATAAATGAAAATCTATATAATATTAAAACTGTAATCTTGTATGTATGTGATTTTTTGGAACTAAATTTGTTGTATATGTGTTGATGAGGTGTAGTCGTATCAACGTAAAGATAACTACTAAAGGATGAAAACTTTTTCCTCATTATCATATTTTCCCCCAATATATATATATATATATATAGAGAGATATATATATGTGTATGTACACATACATACATACATTTATGTATGTATATGCGGATGTTGACAACTTAAGAAGTACGTGTGTGTGTGTGTGTGTGTGTGTGTGTATGTATGTGTGTGTGTATGTGTGTGTACTGGTTCCATGTAGCTTGGGAAATATGTGTGTATATGTGTGTGTGTACTGACTACTTGTGGTGGGATAGTGTGTATGTGCGTATGTGTGTGTATGCGTGTATAAGTACAAATAAGTTTACGAATTCCTCGTAGTAAGGAAATATACGCACGCATATATACACGCATGCTGACAGGAACACGCCAAAATAGAAACAAATCCAAGAGCACATAGAGGTCACTAAAACATTAAAAGATTAAATGCCGATAACTACTCGCTGGACAAACCTTAATTGTTTTATGACCCTTCACGCAGAACTCTTCATTGACAATTCTAGAAAGAAAATTCGGATTGCCAACACACAAACAGAATGTCTCATATCGAGAATATTCCACATTGAACATGAAGAAAAATTAATTATTTTTAATAATATGTAAAAATCTCCACTTTCACCTGAAGACGGTTGCGAGACCAGACCAGAAACACGTGTCGTGAAATTATGTAAAACAAAGTATAATATTTTTTCTCAATAAATCCACATTACAACCAAAAACGTTTGCGGCACCCCTCTTCTTTTTAATATACATACTTTTCTCTCGTTGGAACCACTACAACATATTTCTTTTATATATATATATATATGGAGAAGTTTATAATTGTTACAACGAGATAAAAATGTATATTTTTAAAAAAGAGAGAAACAGCAATACGTTTTTGGTTATAATATGGATTTGTTTAAGTGATATATGTTATATTTCAGGCAAATTAAAGGAATTAAATTGATTCCTTTAATTTGCCTGAAGAAGGTCACGAGACTGGAAACACGGGTAGCAAAAATATGAAGACTAATATATAACATATGCACTAAAACAAAGTCACATTATAACCAAAAACGTTTGCGGTTTTTCACTTTGCTAAATATATATATATATATATATATATATATATATATGAAAAAGTGTATATAAATATAAATAAATATATATATATAATTATTTATATATTATATGTGCGTTACTTATTAGAAAGCGCTCAATATGAGAGATAGAGCTAACATATTTGGTTGGATTGGTGTGAGTTTGTGACCCTGGGTTTCACGCTTTAGCGATCGTCAGACAAACCTTTGTCTAACGATCGCTAAAGGGAAACCCAGGGTCTAAACTCACATCTATCCAACCAAATATATATATATATATATATATTTTATATATAAAGAAGAAATATAGTCTTAAGATGTGCTATATTTATGGGATAAAGTGATCAATATCAGAGATAGAGCGTGTGTAAATAGAAAAGTGAACATAGAAGTCAACACTTAGAGGCGACAGTCTGTTTCATCTAGATGCAATCGTCAAACAGACGATTGCATCTAAGTGTTGACTTTATGTTCAAATTTATATATATATATATATATATATATATATATATATATATATATATATATATATATATGAATAAAAGGCCAAACGGAAACTTATATTAACCGACGCGTTTCCTCTTCTGATGGACTTTATCAAGGCAAAGGGCAACGTTTTCCTTTTGTTTTTATTGATATCTTTTAGCCGTCAGTTTCATAAAGTTTTATCTTCTACCATAAATTAAGTGAAATAATAAACCCTCTATTTCTGTCTTTAATATTAATTTTGTATTCAAATTTCATTTTATGGAAGAAATTTCTTTTTCAACGTAAAGAAGTAAAACATATATCAATTGATATTGTCAAATAATTTATTTTCATACTTTAAATCAGGATATATTTGCATTAAAGCGTTTTTGAGTGCGTTTCATTCGTTTGCGTGTCACTAAAATAGAAACAAGAAAGACACTTGTACACACCAAAAAAACAAGCAGCTAAGATTTTTTGATGCATAATGAAGAAGGAGAGTTTGGAGAATTTGACACTCACAGAGTAAGAGACATTTCGACGTAGTGTAATGCTTAGCAAGCTTTCTAGCTTGATCACTTACGACTGGTTAGTAAGTTCAATCTGTCTTTCTTTACGGCAGTGAATGTTGGACGATTTCCTCAAAGATGATGAAGAGCCTCGAGGTGACGGAGATGTGGTTCTACAGAAGGATGCTAAGGATATCATGGACCGAGCGTGTGAGCAACGATGAGGTCTTAGAGAGGATGAAAACAAGGCTTATACTTAACATCAGGAAGAGGCAGCTGAAGTTCCTGGGACACATAATGAGGAAGGAGGGCCCGGAGAATCTGATGCTCACAGGTCGAACAAAGGGAAAGAGAGACAAGGGAAAACAATGCATGACATACCTGGCGGGCTTAAACAAATAAATGACAGAACGTGGTCTGGGGGAGGAAGCAGAAGGAAGGAACTTGTTGAGAGCTGCAAGGGATAAAGGGAGGGGGAGAGCCATGATCGCCTACGCCCTGAAAGGACATGGCACATAAAAATTCGATTCTAACGGGGTTCCCCATACCTTCGGTATTGTGCCATATCTAAGCTACGCTTAGAAAATTTCCCTATCGGTGGCAAATGGGACATACTAGGCTGCTGGCCAGCTACTCTACGATATTTTATGAATCGGTTGCGAAACATGGGTGGTCAAAAATATAAACGCTACCAAGATCTACAACGGATAGAAGATTGTGGAGAAACATTATCGCCGACGTCTTGAAGGAACACTGCACATAGAAAACAAAGAAAGAATAAGTCGATGTGGTGTAATGGTTAGCAAGTGTGTCTCTTTAGCAACAAAGAAAAGATTATTGAACTGTTAGGCGAGATCTGTCGTGTATGGCACCGAATACTGTACAATCTCCTCAAAGATGAAGAAGAGACTTCAAGCAACAGAAATGTGGTTCTACAGAGAGATGATGAGGATACCATGGACCGAACACGTGTGCAATGACGAGGTTTTGGAGAAAATGGAAACAAAAAGGAAACTTATACTTAACATCAGGAAGAAGCAGTTGAAATTTCTGGGACACGTAATGAGAAAGGAAGGCTTGGAAAATCTGATACTCACAGAACAGATTGTGGTTAAACGGGACAGGAAAGCAGCCCGTAGCATAATTGATGAGCTTAAGTAAATAGCTGGTAGAACAGGGTTTGGGAGACATGACAAAAAGAGAACTTATTAAAAGCCACAAGGGACAGAAGGGAGTGGAGGACCATGATCGTCTACATCCGGAAGGGATACGGCATATGAATGAAGAAGTGAG